ACATTATGAGTTTGAAAACATTTCGTCTAAAAATAGAAAAGTTACAGTTATATCCATTATATATTGGTCATTTCAAGTTTTGCACGTGCGCGCTCTTGCAAGCACGTGCGCGCAAAATGACCTTCATTCCGCAAATCTACATAACATGCCTACTTATCCTAAAAAGGTTTCCCCTTAATCGGATGTGTACTTTACAAGATCATTCGCGGACAAAATTTTCCCGAGAAGAAAAATAATAATAATAATAATAAGAAACAGAGTAAAAACAATATGTTCCCAAACTTCGTTTGGGGAACATAATTAGATCCAGAAAGGACAAACGCGATAACAGTCTGGGTTACTCAGATAGAAACACTCTGATGAGAAACTGTATTGTCTATTTTGTTATTCCCATATGCTTTACCGTTTTAATAAAAGACAATTTGTTATTTAACAAACCAAGTAATGCTTAATTCTCTTTTGTGAGATGTTGAACAAAGAACAAAAACTCAACAAAATTATTCGTTTGACCTTCCTAGCAAATAGTTAACCTTTGGTCAACGGACAGACCTACGGACCAAGCGAAAGCTATTAGTAATAGCGATAGAAATTGCTTTTATTCCGGGACCATGAATTATGTTCCCTCGAAGCTTAAATAGTCTGTTTGCCAAAACACACACACCCTCACCATCACATACAAAAAACAGGTGTCAATTGTCCATTGTGAGGCGTAATAAATTGTATGAAGCAGTAAGAATGTCGAAACATCGCTGTACGCTGAAAGACATACAGAGACATAAGACATACAAAGTACTATGGTACAGTCACTGGCCAGATCATCACAACATAAGACATACAGAAAACTGTTGTACAGTCACAGGTCAGATAATCACGACATAAAACATACAGAGTACTATTGTACAGTCACAGGTCATGTCAACACGATATAAAACATACAGAGTACTATTGTTCACTCAAAGGTCAGATCATCAGGATAAAGGACATATAGAGTACTATTGTACACTCAAAGGTCAGATCATCAGGATAAAGGACATACAGAGTACTACTGAGTTTTGTACAGTCACAGGTCAGATCATCACAATAAAGGACACACAGAGTACTATTTTGCAGTCACAGGTCAGCTTATCACGATATAAAACATACAGAGTACTATCGTATAGTCGCAGGTCATGTCATCACGATAAAGGACATACAAAGTATTATTGTACAGTCACAGGTCACCTCATCACGATAAAGGACATACAGAATACTATTGTACAGTCACAGGTCAGATCATCACGATAAAGGACATACAGAGTACTATTGTACAGTCACAGGTCAGGTCATCACGACATAAGACATACAGAGTACTATGATAAGTCACAGGTCAGCTCATAACGATATAAAACATACAGAGTACTATTATACAGTCACATATCAGCTCATCACGATATCAAACATACAGAGTACTATGGTACAGTCACAGGTAAGATCATCACGACATAAGACATATATGGTACAGACACAGGTCATGTCAACACAATATAAAACATACAGAGTACTATTGTGCAGTCGCAGGTCAGATCATCAGGATAAAGGACATATAGAGTTCTTTAGTACAGTCATAGGTCAGCTTATCACAATATGAAACATTCAGAGTACTATTGTACACTCAAAGGTCAGATCATCACGACATAAGACATACAGAGTACTGTGATACAGTCACAGGTCAGCACATCACGATATAAAACATACAGAGTACTATGGTACACTGAACGGTCAGTTCATCACGATAAAGGACATATAGAGTAATATTGTACAGTAACAAGTCAGATCATCACGACGTAAGACATATATGGTACAGACACAGGTCATGTCAACACAATATAAAACACACAGAGTATCATTGTACAGTCAGAGGTCAGATCATCACGACATAAGACATACAGAGTACTGTGATACAGTCAGAGGTCAGCTCATCACGATATAAAACATACAGAGTACTATGGTACACTCAACGGTCAGTTCATCACGATAAAGGACATATAGAGTAATATTGTACAGTAACAAGTCAGATCATCACGACATAAGACATATATGGTACAGACACAGGTCATGTCAACACAATATAAAACACACAGAGTATCATTGTACAGTCACAGGTCAGATCATTACGATAAAGGACATACAGAGTAATATTGTACAGTCGCAGGTCAGATCATAACGACATCAGACATACAGAGTACTGTGATACAGTCACAGGTCAGGTCATCACGACATAAAACATACAGAGTACTATTGTATAGTCACAGGTCAGCTCATCACGATAAAGGACATATGGAGTAGTATTGTACAGTAACAAGTCAGATCATCACGACATAAGACATATATGGTACAGACACAGGTCAGATCATCACGACATAAGGCCTACAGAGTACTGTGGTACAGTCACAGGTCACATCATCACGACATAAGGCCTACAGAGTATTATGGTACAGTCACAGGTCAGATCATCACGACATCAGACATACAGAGTTCTGTGATACAGTCACAGGTCAGGTCATCACGACATAAAACATACAGAGTACTATTGTATAGTCACAGGTCAGCTCATCACGATAAAGGACATACAGAGCACTATTGTACAGTCACAGGTCAGATCATCACGACATAAGGCCTACAGAGTACTGTGGTACAGTCACAGGTCACATCATCACGACATAAGGCCTACAGAGTATTATGGTACAGTCACAGGTCAGAACATCACGACATAAGACATTACAGAGTACTTTATGGTACAGTCACATGTCATGTCAATACGATATAAAACATACGGAGTACTATATGGTACAGTCACAGGTCATGTCAATAGGATATAAAACATACGGAGTACTATATGGTACAGTCACAGGTCATGTCATCACGACATGTTATGGACATACAGAGGATTATGGTACAGTTACAGGTCGGCTCTTCACGATAAATGTGCAACGGAAAAGATTACCTTTCAACACTTTACGAGTTTAATGCTTATCCCTAATATTTGATAAATAATGTGACTGACGCCTTAAACATTTACATCTAAAGCCTCAATAAAATCTGTCTTGTTTTTTATCATATTGACACATCTATTGAAACTTGTCATAAGCGTTGGAAACGGGGGGGGGGGCTTAGCCCCCCCCCCACTTTTTTCCCAAAAGATAGACATATTATAGACATTGGACATTGCTGCTAGGATTACCCCCCCCCCCCCATTTCCATGGGCATGTTGCAGTATATGCTTAAAATGGTGAAAGTGGTGGTGTTTGGAAAAAAATTTGGTACTGAAGTTCGAACCTAACCCCTCCCCCCCCTACCCCCATGAAATAGGATTTTCGTGTTTGGCTAGTGCACATTTTCTTTCTTTTTGGCTTGTCGGGTATTTTTGAAGGTATATAAAATTTTTGTTAACACCTAGCCCCCCCCCCCCCCCCGCCCCCACTTTCAATTTACTTCCGTCGCCAATGACTTGTGGTATTAAACTTTTATTGCTTTTTAATTAAGTAATCAGGTGTAGCTAGAATTAAAATAAGTTTGAAAGGATAACCATGGTATCAATATACTCTTGGCGTTGAATATTCACGTTCGAGTTCATTCGTAGCATTATTGATATTAGTTGGTTACAAATTTTTGAAACTATTAAACATTTCTCTTAATTTAAGAACTTATCGTTTTGTGGTCTTTTTAAAATCTTTCTTTGTCTTAAACGCTCTGCTATTTATGGATATTGTGTTTAATATACGAGGGGTTATCAAAAAGTTCGTGGACTAGCGTCATAAAATTAAAACTGCTCTAGGTACATCAATGAATTTTAAAATATCTAGTTAGTATCATCTTTTTTATCTAAAGAATAAACCATAAATCATGAATTTTATTTTTTAATAAATTAGTAATGTTTTTGTAAGCAATGGTATATCCAGGCGGCGCAACCTCGAAAACGACGTTTTTGCGACCTATGTGTAACTGAGAAAAACTCTTTTGATATGATCATTTGCCATCCGAAATTTCCGATAATTCAGTCATGTGTTGGGACACAATATTTCCATAAAATATAAAATTTTCACTTCATTCTGGAAGTTCTATGAAATTTTATCGTAAATTTTACATGGAAAGTCCAAACAAATGAGGCTTTGAAAATGACGTCAAAAGGGGGGCGGGGTTTCCGTTTTCAACATTCTATAAAGTTTTGCCCCTGAAAACACTGGTATAGACCTAAAATATGTTGAAACTGGCTAGAGAGAAATAATATGCATCCCGAGTACTTGTCTTTTAATGTCAAAATAGATTCAGAGAAAGGGGATACACAGTTAAAGCCGATTTGCAGTCAAGGTGTGAAAAATCAATTACGTCAAAAAATGACGTTGATCATGTGTTGTAGATATTGAACTCCCAAAAGCAAAATATGCCAGCACAATCAAGCGCGGATCTCTCCCAATATATTAATCCATTTGGAATATTATATTTATTGAAGGCCACTGTTCATGACATTGTAAAGTCATATAAACAAGGCGGGTTTAAATCCTTACTCAGCTCCAGGGAATCTCATCAAAAAAGTGTATGAGGTAGAAGAAGCGGACTTTGAAAAAACAATGACGTTATCGGACGTCATGAAAATAAACGACGACAGCGCCGGGTGATCATATAATGTCGTTTTCATTTTATAATAATTTGGAAAATAATGAACGTATCAGGCTAAATTTTTCAACATTTCTTTATTTTTTGTTGTTTTATATTCTATATAAATTTTGAAAGCACAAACTACATAGTACTAAGTTTATAGCCTCAGTCCACGAACTTTTTGATAACCCCTCGTATGTATGTTGTATTTGTGTGTTTTTTTTTTTGATCAAGTATGTTGTGTCATATGATCAATTACAATTTCTGTTCTGGACTACTACTTCAAAAATTAATGTATCATTTTAAATAACAAGGAAGGATGTACAAGCTCTAGACTGTAGCCTTGCCAAGTTTACTAGTTTTCACGCTTTTACAATGATAATGAGATAATTAATCTGTGTATTGTTTTTAGAAAGCAGGAAATCTCACATAACATTTAGAAAGAAAAACAATCATTTTGAACGAGGAAGAAAATATGTATTATTGAATACATGCGGTATAATCGTAGGTTTAAAGCATTAGTGTATGTTTATTATGGGTGATATTTATACTGTATCATTTATTTGGATGTTAGTCTTTGAATTTGCAGATATTTCAGGTGGAGAGAATATTTGCCCAAGAGAAAAGTAAGTATTTCCTTTAAGGTATATCACTCGCCAGCTTGTAGGAAGTGTTCGGTCAACACCTCTCACTTCAAAACTATTTATTAAAATTCAATGTTTTTAACACCTTTTAATAAAATTACAAATTATGAAATAATAAATTCTAAAAATGGTCACAAATTAAAGAGACAAGACTTAAATTTTGGAACGGTTTTTCACATGGCGTGACATTATGACATTCCTGTATCTTAATATAAATACATTTTTTATTTTCGCCCCGATTTTTCAAATTTAATGTCTCAATTTATTTTTCAGCAGCATTACACAATGTTGTGCTGGTTATCGAACAATCAATGGTACCTGTACAGGTAAAGAAAGACTTACTTTCTTCATTATTTCGATACGAATATTAATCATCAATATGACTACATGTAACATGCTGTTCTGGTGAAGTTTATGTGTAATGTATAAAATTTATCCTCCACTCCATACAATGCTTTCATAACAATATATATATATATATATATATATATATATATATATATATATATATATATATATATATATATATATATATATATATATATATATATATAGGGATGTCAACGAGTACCCGGTTAACCGGGTACTCGATCGAACGTCCGAGTATCGAATACTAAAATCGGTACTCGGTTACTCGGATGTATATTTTTGAATATTTTAAGCTTATTTATTAATGCATTAAACAATCTGTTTTAAAACGTAAAATGCTCATTGCACTTGTACATACAGTAATTAGGGTTTCCTACGCCTCTAAATGACCGTTATCGCCTGTGGCAGTGTTTATACAGTAATTATCGTGACCAAGCACCTGTTATTTGGCTTTCCTCACCTTCGGCTGTCTTCTACCCGTATTCTTGGCTTGCTTTAATTATTTGTTTTCACTGAGCATCGTTTAAGGTCTATTATGTTTAAATAAATTAAATAATTTTGTCAATTCTCCGAGAAGCCGTTAATTCTCGGGAAAAGAGACAGATGATATTACACGTGCGATTGTTGATATGGTTGTGCTTGATTACCTACATGCAAATACAAATGGCTGAAGGCAAAGGCTTTAAAAAATGATGTCCATCGTTGTACCAAACAACAAAATACCGCCCCGTAATACTATAAAATCTCGGATCGAACAATCATGTGAATGAAAATCGTAAATCCACGCTATGAGGATAATTTGATCAAGTTCGAGTTGATACTGTACATAGCTCTGCCGACTGATACCTGGACGTCAAACGCAACAAAGAGTTACACTACAATTACGGAGCAGATTTTTTTTTAAACAAAAACACTGTGAACCACTAATGATTTCTTTTCTTGCGTTTTTCTGATAAGTAAATTGAACTTTAAAAATTTTATATTAAATTTCGTCGGGCACGAAGTGCTCATCATTGTTACAACAGAAATACATTTACGGGTGAACCTATCAGAGCATGTGGTTTTATTTCTACAAGAGTTTACAATGTTTTAAGTCATCAATTTACTTGTTCATATTATTTTATTTACACTTTAACCGAGTACCCGCGTACTCGATCGGAAAAACGTCCGAGTAACCGAATATTAAAAATTGACCGATTTGACATCCCTAATATATATATATCATTGTGTCTAGCTTGACTTTATTTGAAAAAGAGGGAAATAACAAGAACACTCGAGAGAATTTTGTTTCAATGTTATTTCGACGGAAATGACATAATTGACAAGAACTGACATCATAATAATGTTTGATCTATAATGCTCACTTGAGCCTTTGGTTTAATATCAGTTTGATATCAGACAATTTTTTTCTTATTATGTTATCGTACTAAACATTATACAGTATCCACATTAAATATTATTAGCTTTTAAAAAAGCTTACCTCTCTATATTTATATTCAGTATTAGATATAATATATGAACCTCATCGGATAAAATATCCAAAAAAATGTTATATATGTATCGCCATACTTTTAAAATAAATAAATATCTAGATTTATATCCATTTTTTTCATACATCCGTTTGCTTATAGATTATATAAAAGATACCACAGAGTCTGACACATCTGTTTCATATTTGGTAATGGTAATCTACCAACCAAGCTCTACGATAAACGTGATGACTTTAACCTTTCTATCATCAACTTCCCTTACTTATGCAGCAATATATTTCATCCCCTGCATATGGAGTTAATATATCTCAGTAGATTCGATACACAAGATCATACTCTACGTATGAGCAATTTCTAAAACAAGGTAAATTATTGACATACAAGTTCATGAAAGAAGAATTCTAGCAGTCTCTTTTAAAGTCATCATTTCGTAAGTTCTATGGTCGATACAATGACCTTGTCAGCAAATACAATTGATCATTGAGTCAAATGCTGACTGACGTGTTTCATACTATTTGTAAGTCTATTATTTGTATGCTGAATTGACGACGGATTTTTCAGTTATTTCCCGATCATGACAAGGAGCAAACGGCTGGTGTGACCGGTCGACAGGTGATGCTCACTCCTCCATGGCACATGATCCCTCCTAGGTCCGTGCCTGCTCTGCTCCCTTTTTGTATTGTTTTCTGGACTTTGAACTTGAATACTGTTCATTATCTCCATATGTTTCATAAAAAATATTTGACTTGCTTTTTGTAGCACTGAATTCAATGTGACTTTGGTCATTTATATGACTGTTCATAAAATGTAAAAATAAGCTTAAATTGTGCATTTGTGTCTGTTGAAATGCTTTTCGGTGCCCTAGATTGGTAAATAAAATATCTTGTGTATTGTGTTAAAAAATATTTATTAAAATTCATTTATTTACTTTATAGTACTTTTATAAAACAGAAAACGTAATTAAATTGTGTTTGTTTTCGGATGCAGTGTGTGTTGGTTTTTATGGGCAGAATTGTGCACATCCATGTCCAGATGACCATTACGGTGAAAAATGTGAGCTTCGCTGTAATTGTTCCTTGGGTGAAAGTTGCAACCCTTACGTAGGATGTCTCTCAGGTGAGACAGGTCTCTCAAGTGAGACAGGAAAAAGAAGTGCGACAGGTGAGACATGTTTCTCAGGTGAGACAGGTGAGAAAGGTCTCTCAAGTGAGACAGGGGAAAGAAGTGCGGCAGGTGAGACAGGTTTCTCAGGTGAGACAGGTGAGAAAAGTCTCTAAAGTGAGACAGGGGAAAGAAGTGCGGCAGGTGAGACAGGTTTCTCAGGTGAGGCAGGTGAGAAAAGTCTCTCAGGTGAGACAGGTGAGACAGGTGAAAGGGAAAGAGAATTAGGAGGTTTGGATGAAACCAATAAATTTGTTTAAAAATGTTTTCCTTTGGATTTCCTTACCATCAACAGTTTGAAAGTTAAACGTTTAAAAATTCTAATCAGGCATAATTAAACACTACTGGCTTGCTAGGAAGATCAAACGAAAGATCTTGTTGTCAGAGTTTCTGTTCTTTGTGCAAAATCTGATACACTGAGAATTAAGCGTTTCTGATTTGCTAAATAACAAATTATCCTCTATAAAACGATTCTTAAATAATATTCTCCTTTTTTCAGATAAAGCATATGGGAATAAAACAATAGACAAGACAGTTTCTCATCAAAGTGTCCCTAACTGTGTAACCCAAACTGTTATCGTGTTTGTCCTTTCTGGTTCTAATTTACTTCTCCTTGCGCTGTGTATTGGGATGACCTGCTGTTGGAGGTTTGTTGTCACGATATTCATGTACAAAATGAACAGAAAAATACAAATTTGAATTGTTTTTTATGCAAATATTTAGCTGACCCTTTTGACAACAACCAAAAATTAGAAAAATATCGATAAAATCGTTTGTGAAATAGAAACCTGGAGATGTACATCGTATGTAAAATGTAATCATGATAATAAATGTATTTTTCTTTCCAAAATAAAATGCTTTTAGGGTCAAATGATTAAAAGATAAGATTTTTTTTACTCTAACAATGTTTCAATAAGATTTTTATCTGTTAAATTTTACAGACGTTCAAAAAAGTCTAAATTTTTGAACTCAGTTACAACCAATAACTTATATGCTGGAGAAAAAGACATCTGTTCTTCGGGTCACAATTCCCAGTCGGAGCACAGAAACACTGTGTATAATACCTACAGCCATATACGCTTCAAGAATGAGGAGCTGATAATTCACAATCCAGATGGTTATAGCACGACAGTTTTACCCTATGACACCGTACAGGATGTGAAGATAGAATCCACTTATAACGGGTTCTCCGAGGGGAGAGTGGTACATGAGCAACCAGTTGGCGTCATGGATACATTTCGTCCTGCGGTTGATAAAAAAATATCTCCCGAAATCTCTCATCCTACAACACGACCCTACAGTTTAGCAAACCTGAACAGAGACGCTGCAGAAAGTTAACGTAGAACAGAACAGATGGGCAGAATAAGAGTACCATAAACCGATTCAGAAGTATCGGATACATCAGAAATTATTGAAGTAATTTATTCCGTAACTTTTGAACAAGCCTGTTCTGTGAATAAAGCAATGTAATGCAACCGGTACCATCACCCCCTGAAACGAAATAGAGGACTTATGCTGCTGCTCAAGTCGCCATTGTCATATTGCACCATCTTGCAATCACTATTGCACCACCACGTCATCTCTTCATCATATCTTATATAACCTGATAACAATAAACGTGTATTTACAATTCGTTAGAATATCAAGAAGGCTAAATGAAGACGGAATTTATATACTTCCTTAAAGATAAGGAATCAGAATTTCAATTGTTTACGTATTAAAGTATTAAAAGTTTTTAGAAATATATTTAAGTAAGTATTGTATCAATACCAAATATGAACAGTTTCACAAAAGAAAGTTAATATTAAAAGAAAGTTAATATTAAAACTTTAGAAATAAAAAAAAAATCGTTCCAGTGTTGTGTATCTTTGTTCTTTGACGGGTGCAATTTCACACACTTTAACGTACACATATAATTCTATAACCGGAGTTTTTGTTTCGGCTGCGTTCCCTGTCATTTTTTGTTGCACAAGATTCCTAAGGAGGATGTTAATGGGGGAAACGAGGGAAATATACTCTAAGTCATGTCAGATTTTTTTTAATTAATAAAGTGTGGTGAGGTGTGTATTGTTTCATCATGTATATTATTAGTAACATTAAGTTTCTTGAACATTCCAGAGTGGTCAACATGTTCGGTCATTTTTTCTAGAACATTCTTGAACTTTGTATATGTCCATAACTTTCCAGTAATATCATGGACTTACAACTTCTAGAATTTTCTAGATTTATAGTACTGTATAAATACCCTGTCAATTCGATGCATAAACAATACTTTGTCGTATAAGCACCATTGAGGTACAACTGGGATATAATTACACTGGACATTGTGTGCAGCAACGGACACTCTGATGTATGTATTTTTAGATTCTTGCTATGTTTGTACTAAATGATTTGAATGTATTAATGTTAATAAATTACTGTTAAGTTTAAATTGTGTGATTGATCTTTGCTGGCATTTAGGGTTATTCTGACCCATAACAGAATTGGGGGCTCGTCCGGGATAAAGAATTTCTTGCACTTTTGCAGTTTATTGTCAGAATTTTGTTAATTGAACCGTTAAATTTGATTATAAGCCAGCAGAAATCAACATGGTGTTTTCGGTCACAGACTTTCTTAGTTCACCAAGTGTTCAGGTTTTTGATACGTTAAAAAAGGATGACTTGATCGCATTAGGTTTGCATCTTGGGTTAGATGTTAAATCCTCTCAGAAAAAGCAAGACATTAGAATTAAGGTTGCAAACAAACTAGTAGAAGAAAACATCTTTGAAAAATACAATCTTCCGGAATATACAGTTAAATCAGAGTTAGGCTCTTATAAAATGGCAGAATATCAGTTTCAAGTAGAGTTAGAGAAAATGCGATTTGAAAGAGAAAAATTAGAAAGAGAAGATCGAGAAAGAGAAAGAGAAGAACGAGAGCGTGAACGAAAATTTGAATTAGACAAATTAGAAAGACAAGAGCGAGAAAGAGAGCGTGAAATGAACTTTGAATTAGAGAAATTAAAATTACAGCACCAACCAGAACCGTCAATTGTCAAAACTGAATTTGACGCAGCAAAAAATATCAGATTAGTTCCAAAATTTCAAGAAAAATCTGTAGACAAATATTTTCCCCAATTCGAAAAGGTCGCAGAGAATCTTAAATGGCCACGAAATGTTTGGTTAAGGATGTTACAAAGTGTACTGGTTGGCAAAGCAGCTGAGGTATACTCTGCACTAGGGGTAGTTGAGAGTTTAGACTAAGAGAAGGTCAAAGCAGCAATATTAAAAGCATATGAATTAGTACCTGAAGCGTATAGACAAAAGTTCAGAAAGTATAGAAAGTTTGATAATCAAACATTTGTTGAATTTTCACGAGAGAAAGAAGATTTATTCGATCACTGGTTTAGATCTAAGAAACTTGATAAAACTTTTGCTAATTTGCGCCAAGTCATCCTGGTAGAAGAGTTTAAGGAATGTGTTCCTCAAGATTTGAAAACACATCTAGAAGATAAGAATGTAAAAACTCTTGAAGAGGCAGCAGTCATATCTGATACTTATGCTCTGTCTCATAAAAAGAATTTTGTTTCAAGATCTCAGTCTAGCAATAATTCTACAAATTCAGACACATATAAAAAGAGTGGTTCAGGGTCTCAGTCTTCCACAATTTCCCAGTCTCCATCCCAAGGTAGTTTTAAGTCCGGTTCAGGACGTTTTGAAGGATCATCTGGAATAGGGTCGCTTCCTACGTGTAGTTATTGTAAGAAAAAAGGTCATCTGATCAGTGAATGCTTTAAACTTAAGAGAAAAAATGAATTTGATAAAACTCAACCACACGCTTGTGCGGCAGTTAGAGGTGATAGAGAAGCCTTAGTTTCGATTTGTTCTGACACTCCTGATGTCCAGGGTTCACAGTCCAGTTCTATTGATTCTATGGAGGATTATAAGCCCTTTATGTCTCAGGGATTTGTTTCACTCGGTGACTCTAGCGAAATTAAACCTGTCCAGATTTTGAGAGATACTGGTGCTGCACAGACGTTATTGTTAGAGGGCGTGCTTCCTTTGTCTGAGCAGACTTCTACTGGTGTGTCAGTTTTATTACAGGGTGTGGAGCTAGGCGTCATTGATGTTCCCCTGCATAGAATTTGTTTGAAGTCAGATTTAGTTTCTGGACCTGTTACTCTAGGAGTTCGACCTACTCTTCCCGTTCCAGGCATTTCCTTGCTGCTTGGCAACGATTTAGCTGGTGGAAAAGTTGTACCAGATCCTATAGTTTGTGAGAAAATCACTTCAGATGTCATGTGTAATGATGAAGATGATGACATATATCCAGCCTGTGCTGTTACAAGAGCAATGGCAAAAAGACGAGAAATGGAGGCAGACCATACTCAAGCCTTTGACAGTGCAAATTCTTCTACTGATATTGATTTGAATGACACTTTCTTATCTGACCTTGATGGCACTCAAACAAGCATGGAACCACACAATATCAAGAAGTCGGTGACGAATGAACCTTTATCAAAATTTAGTGGTGATGAAGATGAGTTAAATCTACCAGAAAGCCAAGGCAAGGATATCATAAGCCGAGAGCAGTTACTTTTAGCACAACATAAAGACCCAGATATCATTCAACTTAGTAAGAGGGCACTTCCACCAGAAGAGACCATAAAAGTTGGAGAATGTTTCTATATGAAAGATGGCATCCTTATGCTTATCCTTATATCCTTATGACCACCTGACGCTTCCCCAGATGAAGTGTGGCGTGTTGTTCACCAAATAGTGGTACCAGCTGCTTATCGTCAAGATGTAGTGAGTTGAGCTCATGATACACGTATGTCAGGTCATTTAGGTGTCAATAAGACATATTAGGATTTTGAGTCATTTTTATTGGCCTAAACTAAGAAAGGATGTTTCGAAGTTTTGCAAGTCATGTCATGTTTGTCAGATGGTAGGTAAACCGAATCAGAAGATACCATCCGCCCCTCTCCAACCAATTCCAGCTTTTGAAGAACCGTTTAGTCGAGTGTTGGTGGATTGTGTAGGACCTTTGCCTAGGACTAGATCTGGGAACCAGTATTTACTTACCATTACGTGTACATCCACTCGATTTCCTGAAGCCATACCTCTTAGGAATATAAAGGCAAAGAGCATAGTTAAGGCCCTAACCAAGTTTTTCAGTTTTGTAGGAGCACCCAAGGCAATTCAGTCGGATCAAGGCTCAAATTCTATGTCGGGGTTGTTCCAGCAAGTCATGCATGAGTTGGGTATAAGGCAATATAGATCAACTGCTTATCATCCTGAGTCCCAGGGGGAGCTAGAACGTTTTCACCAGACCTTAAAAACAATGCTGAAGACCTATTGTTATCAGTATGAGAAAGACTGGGATGAAGGGGTTCATCTTGTGCTATTTGCTGCACGAGAAGCAGTCCAGGAGTCTCTTGGGTTCAGTCCTTTTGAATTGGTGTTTGATCATACAGTTAGAGGACCTTTGAAATTGTTGAAGGAAAAGTGGCTGACTGAGACTAGTGATCTTAAGCTTTTAGATTATGTGTCTGATTTCAAAGAAAAACTTTACAATGCTTGTAAATTAGCACAAGAAAATTTGAAGAGTTCTCAGATGAAAATGAAAATGTGGTATGACAAAGATGCCAGAAATAGGGTGTTTAAGCCAGGTGATAAGGTTCTTGTATTTTTACCTATTCCTGGTCATCCTTTACAGGCCAGATATTACGGCCCTTATGAAATTGAAAGCAAGATTAGTGATGTAAACTATGTAGTTAAGACACCAGGTCGACGTAAAGAGAAACGGGTTTGTCACATAAACATGTTGAAAGAGTATTTTGAAAGGTGTGACCGAAATTCTGTAAAACCAGTTTCCACTTTAGCCGATGCTAAGACTGTTCAAAATTGTATTGAAAGTGATACGAGTGTAGAAATGAATGAGAAAGATTGTAATCAGAGTGTCCGTTTGAAAAACTCAGAAGTTTTGGCTAATTTGGATGCTAAACTTGGACATTTGAACATTCACCAAAAAGAACAAGTTAAAAACTTGACGAGTGAGTATCATCAAATCTTTTCGGATGTTCCAAAGAAAACTAATGCAGCTTGTCATGATGTCATAGTGGGTGACGCTCTGCCTATCAAACAACATCCATACCGTCTTAATCCAATAAAATTGCAGTACCTAAGAAGGGAAGTGCAGTACATGTTGGACAATGACATTGTCGAACCTAGTAAAAGTAACTGGAGCTCACCATGTATTCTTGTACCAAAACAGGACGGTACCTACCGATTATGTACAGACTTTAGAAAGGTGAATTCTGTTACCAAAACTGATTCATATCCAATACCTAGAATCGATGACTGTATTGACAACATTGGAAACGCGAAATTTGTCAGTAAATTTGACCTGTTGAAAGGCTACTGGCAAGTGCCGTTAACAGAAAGAGCAAAAGAAATATCTGCTTTTGCTACACCAGATGGACTTTACCAGTATAAAGTAATGCCTTTTGGCATGAAAAACGCACCAGCTACATTCCAAAGGATGATTCACTCCATTCTCCAAGACCTTGAGGGATGCGAGGCCTACATTGATGATGTCATCATATACAGTGACACATGGGACGAACATCTCCGAATCATGCGTGCTTTATTTGAGATTTTAGCTAAAGCAAACTTAACTGTGAACCTTGAGAAGAGCGAATTTTGTCATGCTTATGTAGAGTATTTAGGTCATAAAGTAGGTCAAGGTTATGTTACACCCATTATGGCTAAAGTGGAAGCTATTGCAAAGTTCCCGATTCCTACAAACAAGAAAGAGTTAATGAGGTTTTTGGACATGGCTGGGTTTTACAGAAAATTTTGTCCAAATTTTTCCTCAGTAGTTAGTCCACTTACAAATCTTTTACAAAAGAGGGTTAACTTTGAATGGACAAAGGACTGTGAAAAATCGTTTCATAAAATCAAATCTGTCCTTATGAGCAATCCAGTTCTGTCAACTCCAGATTTTTCTAAGCAGTTCAAGTTTACTGTTGATGCTAGTGATCTTGGAATCGGGCCAGCTTTGTTTCAAGAACATAGTGATAAGGTAGATAGAGTTGTTTCTTATTTTTCAAAGAAACTTACAAAATGTCAACAAAAGTATTCCACCATTGAAAAGGAATGCCTTGCTTTGTTGTTAGCCTTACAGCATTTTGATGTTTATCTGAATGTTACTTTGCATCCAATTCTTGTATATACAGATCACAACCCCCTGACATTTTTGCATAAATTGTCAAACAAGAATCAAAGACTGACTAGATGGAGTTTGTTGTTACAAGAATACAACATAACAATTAAGCATATCAAACGCAAAGACAATGTTATTGCAGATGCCTTGTCCAGAGTATCGTGAACATATACGATTTTGTATTAATTTTGTATTAATATTATTTCATTGACATTCAAACTTTTTAAGGGGGGAAGTGTTGTGAGGTGTGTATTGTTTCATCATGTATATTATTAGTAACATTAAGTTTCTTGAACATTCCAGAGTGGTCAACATGTTCGGTCATTTTTTCTAGAACATTCTTGAACTTTGTATATGTCCATAACTTTCCAGTATATATTACTTACAACTTCTAAATAAATTATTGTTAATTCGATGCAGAGAGAATTGTGTTATTGAGGTATTACTGGGATATAATTTCACTGGGACATTGTGTGCAGCAACGGACACTAACATGTATGAATTTTTAACTAAGTTTGTACTTTATGTTTCATATACATTTGAATTAATGTAAATAAATTATTGTTAAGTTTAAATTGTGTGATTGATCTTTGCTCATTTAGGGTTATTCTGACCAAATTAAAACTTGCGAAATGAGGAAGAAGAAAAGACCGCTGATATTTAAGGAATTATTGTTTAATTTTTTCATGACGTGATCAATCGAGTGTATAAAATTATGACGCAAGCCAATCGATTGATCAGTTACATGCTCTTGATTCTGCAAATTCACGTGCAGCTAGTACCGCCTCTGTCTCTATCTGTCACGACCCGCACTGAATTTTTTTCACCACGCCTATCGATGAACCTCTAGATTTATGTAAAAATATAGTATGATTAGTCTTTGTAATTTCATCTTGGACAAAGACATTGTTGGATATGTAAATATTCTTGTTTCATCAACTCGTTTTTCTAGTAACTCCTCTCGTTTAAGAAACTGTTCATATGTAGAGCATGTTCGTGTTTCGAATCAGCTGAGAGATATAAATCCTCTATGCAGGTGATGAAGGTATAATTCTTTCAAAGTAATAGAATTTATTCTCCATTAATTTGATTTCTGAAATATGGTACAACCATAGAGGTCCGTGTTTGCTCTGCTCCTATTTTGTATCGTTATATGAATTTTTTTTTATCTGAGATACTGTTCGTTATCTCCATGTGTTTTATCGTAAATTTTTTAAAGTTCTCTTGCAATGGCAGGTGTCGGTGTAATAAAGATCCCTTATGGCTATGGCGATTAGCACCATGCATCGGACAAAATGTGTGGAACTTCACTTAGATACAGCAAGTGATGTCATTATATGATGCTAGATACTAGAAAAGGTATTTAAACAACAAACAAACGATACAGTATTACTGAAATACATGATTTTATTTTCTTTTTAATGGAGAAAGGTCATAATGTGCGAACAAAGTGTAATGCAGAAATATAAGAGCAACGAATCTTTTTCTTTCTCGTCTGGAGCATGATCAGACATATTAAAACGCAAACAGACTATGGTAGTGTTAATATAAAAACAATTGAAACCTAAAAGATAAGATAAGATAATATTTATTTAAAGTCGGTTACATCAACAAAAAACATTAGCTCTGAAGAGCATTTTCCGACTACCTCCTTGGACCCTTCTTACAAAAGAACTCACGACAAATACCAAAAACTTCAGTTGATTGTAGAATTTTGCAAAATCTATTATTGAGTTAAAATTGCTCAAAGTTATCTTAAATATTCAGAAAAGAAAACCAAAAGTGGGGGTATATGATGGAAGTTTTTAGATATTACGAAAAATTTGTCAATTTTCTGTTAAAATTGGCTCATTTTTTTTCTGGACTTTCAGAATATATTTACTATATTTGTCATAATTTGTCGAAAGAATTCATAAGAAATAATTTGATAGATATTTCAGAACACGCATGACACGTTTCACTGCAAAAAAAAAAACAGCCTTGTGTGCAACCAGCATGGAAAAATAAGAATCTAAAATTAACAGTACTCTTTAAAGTTCAAAAGAGATAAATTGATAATTTTCTTCTTAAAACCTTCCGCCACAAAATATAGTCCCTGGCTTAACCCTTCTTGAATGGAATTTAATTGCAGTTTTTGCATTGGATAAAGTTTAATTTGCATTATAGAATCAAATTTCAACGTTAAAATTTTAAAACGATTCAGAATTTTCGAAATAAAGGTCCAGACCAAAACCGACTCAAAAGCACAGGATCGAACGTCCTTAAAGATAGGATAATTTAATATACATGGGATTTTATTGTACGTACTGTTAATGAATAAGGTGAATATAATGAACAGTAATCGATCTCCATGACAAGGTGAAGAACTCATTAACGAGACAAAAAATGTGAATAAGGCATAAAACACGGACGACAGGGATCAGGTGCTTAGGACAAGTCAGCATCCCCATTCCTAACCCTGTGAGCTCTTTGTATTGATTAGGTAAAGGGAATATTCCGTAGTCAATCTCAGTAACTTCAATACATACAAATAAATCATATCTTTAAATAGAAATTCTTATATTTATTTATGAGAAAAACATGTAAAAGCTATAAATCCATTTTAATGACATCTTTCCTTGTTATAGACGACAAGTGTTCAAATCCTTAAAGTGTCATCATTAATTTCATTGACAATCTGTTTATATTTTTACTACTTAGATTATCCAATCACGTTTCCAAGGTTAACCTGAAGCGTTCGTCGAGATGTTGATGTGGTAGTGTGTGTAACACTCAGGGTCTGGCGTCTTGATGCTTGAAATAAACATTGATAAATCGATTGAAGACATAAATGAAAATAGTTAATTGATAATTGAAAATATTCTAGGATGTATAAATAAAACATAACAAAAATCTTACAATTTTCTCCTATAATATCCCTCCTTCTTAGGATTTATGAATGAATATGAAGGTCATTATATGATTTTTTTTGTAAATCACATCGTTTTGATAATTTGTAATAGATTTTTGTTTTGCTTTATAACTTTCGCACACGTTTAATGAGCTGCATAACAGCATAACTAAAATCTCAAAAACTTGCACCGTGACTGAAACCAAGTGAATGGAATCATTTAAAATATGAAAGCATTAAAAATACAGCGTTATTTCCATGAACCCTTGACAACATTTTGTAGAAAATCAAATAGATTCCTATCATATTGAATGTAGGTACTTCAATCATTACTTTAGCTGTTCCATAATCTAATTTCTTTCAAATTATGCAGTGAAAATACAATTTTTATAACTGCTTACCATGTATTTCGTAATCCACAAAGTAACATCTTAGGTCGTCCAGTCTACAGAATGATACCAATAACAGTTATAAAGAATAATAAAGGCATAACAGTCATGAAAATGAAATAACAAAGACAAAATATTATAGTAACGATAATAAATAAACTAGAATAGCAATGATGATTAAAACATCCTAGACATATTAGTTACTTTAAAAGATCTGCCTTTTCGTTAAAACCGAAAGTGTGTTATTGTAAGGAAAATATTGCCTATAAGATTTTACATGTTTTAAGAATAATAAAAAAATGCATCTAGTTGTTTACAAATCGATTTTTTGCCATATAAATTCGTTCCTTAAGAAATATTTTTTTTGCAGTTTTTACCCAGAGTTGTAGTCCGATGCCTCGACACAAAGCTGTGCCCTCTGTGTTGGGCGGGAGATAGAAGTATGGATTAGAACATCCACGGAACAGTTATCACAGTCAGGAGTTCTAAAAATGTGCACAGTACTTCCAGGTACTGGACGGGCGGAAACCTCAGGACTGTAAACCAGAAGAAAGAGACGTAATGTTAGAAAGGAGAAAAGTATTTTAACAAGTTTTTGGAAAAGAAGCTTAAAATTAAAATTAACTGGAGCTTCTTAAACTCCTTTAAATAATTGCTTAAAGAAACAATAACATGTTTTAATCATTTGCTTATTTCTTTGAAATTTAGAAATCTCCGTAATTTCTGGGAGATTTTTTGGAAAGGGTTTATGTATGGATTAAAGTTATTTATTTGCCTTTTTATTAACCTTTTAATTAACATCCGTTGAAAATGTGTATGATGTAAAAAAAAAATGCAATAAGGTATTCGTTTAAAAAGAAGGCCCATTATGAGGACTACCAAATGAGCCCACGGTAAATTTTATTGTTGTTTACTACTGGGTAATTGTCTTAAAATATTTTCACTTGAGTGTAGTGTCAGCATTCGTATCTCATCTACTTTTCCAGCTGAAATAGGACTGCTTCTTATGTTCTTGCATTGTATTTATGAATTTTGTTATGTGGTCATTTAATGATATGATTATTTTCACTTATCTTGCTCCATGCTTACCATAAGTTGTTGTGGCCTCGTTTTAGATAAAGCAATACGTGGCAATCAATGTCTGCAGAACATGTGAAAAGTGACACATTTGTTGGAGATGGTCCAATAAATAATTGCTTAAGGTAATATAAAAAGGTCGAATTGTATATTATAAATGTTAGTAATTAACATTTTAAAACAAAACAAAAGGAATCACATTTTGCGTCATCATATTATATATGATAAAATTATCATACCTTGTCAGTATTTTTCAAAGTTGTAGGTATGTTGTCTAAAATTGAAATGAGTTATTAAAATATGAAACGAAAGTAAACATAATTATCAAAAATCCTCCTATTAATGTGCACTTACTATAGAAACCTACTACTCACGACAGAGATTGCAGGATTTTCTACAGAATGTAGCCGTGGTTGGATCTGAGCAAATATTATTGAGCGCTGCTGGATCGCTGCAGTCGTCAACGGAGACGTCCTCACAGGTAATATAATCTAGAATGATAAAACATACCAGAAAAAACTCGAGATTATCAAACATTTCATTAAGTATCTTTTTCAATGATTGGAAATATTATTTTTGTTATTTTGACAATACAAAGTTTGTAATGCATACAAGAACGGCATAAAAGAAAAAGAAAATTAAGCAGTCGGTTCAACCCTTTTTTTCACGTTTTTAAAAGAGCATTATCAGAGTTTTGGTTGTAACAGGATTAATCAGAAATAAATACTGGCGACCTTGGATGATAATGTGGCACACCAAATTATCATTTGGTATATGTTTCGTGGGATGAAACTTCTTTCATACAGGGAAAGAGAGGGGAAAAGCATATAATTCAGTGTAAAGAGAAACTTTTTAATTATCTCATGATTTTGTGAATTATACCTGTGTTCTGGGTGGAGATACTGCAACAAACTTTGTCTGTTTCGATACTGTTAAATAAAAAGAGTTTGAATCAAAACTCGCTTAACATAATTTGAGTATATCAAATCACGTGATAAATATATCGCTGATTGAAATTGTCAATTAATAGTAAGTGATCTGAACCTAAATTAATAACAAAATATTATAATGACCCAGCCATGGAAAGGAATTGGAATGGTATTTTCTTTTAAAGATAAAATAGGAATTTTCTACAAAGTGAAAGATTTTAGTAATTTATTTTCAAAACGTATTCTGCACCACAATTTCAATGTGATGGGGAAAGAATACTTAATCTTTAATTATTATATCAAAAGATACTGATACACTTTTAAATTAATTATTTTATATTCTTTTGAAATGCAATAAAAAAAACATTGGTTACATAGGTCATATTTTGACACTTTTGTCTCATCGACCTTGTAAATATGAAAATTACAGATGAAAGAAAGTCCAACCTCCAGTTTAAAAAAAAAACACTTTTATTGGACATTATTTAGGTAATTAGGTTTTAAATGATATGCAACCAGGCCATCTTTAAAATAATGTTTGTTTGCCATCTCCCGTAATATTATTGGGTCCGTTAGAAGGTGTTTCGTTACGGAAACCTCAACGTAATTTTTAACGGAATAAGAGGAATGAATTAAAAATACACATCTTGTCCTGGAATGTAAAAAAAGTTTTGAGTGTCGTCATTTTAGTTAATCGGTCGGAAAAGGGTAACTTAATTATCTTTTTAAAATGACCTGACCTGTATCTATCAGGAGAAATGCCCACACAGAGCTGATGAGAGCCAGTTTTCTTGTTGACAACTGTTATTGTAGCGAGGAAATCCTTAGATACACGAGCTTCCTTTATTTCCTTGACCGCTACACTTGTAGAGTCAGTGCTAGTAGTAATGTAAAATCTGAAACCATACATTGAATTCATTTAAGTAATATAAAAGTGTCTTTACTATGGATTGTATAAGAGTGACCCATTGTTTTTCTCTAATATGTTTTAAGCAAAAATATTTCTGTTGTATTATTTCACAAATGTCATTATTATGTAAATCACATTATTGATATCATTACATTACTCTTGTGATATGATTTTTTAACCCTTACCCCTAACCCTGAAAAAATTCAAATACGCTTTGTAAAAAACATAAAATCAAGAATTTTACCCCGTTTTTCCAGTAATTAGAAGCTGTATTTGACACTCCTCATTCAAAGGACAATTCATTCTTTTTGGTAGAAGTACATTTCCAAGCAGAGGCTGTATAAAAATACAAAAGGTTATACTTAAAGATAATAAAATGCTGTAAAATCCTTGATTTTACGTAAGGTTTTATTTGTGTTGTTTTTGAAATATGAAGAGAGCCATAAATGTACGTCCACCACGAAATGTTGAATGCCATATTAATAACTTCAGAAATCTTAATGCACACAATAATATCCCCAGAAACTGATGGTTTTTGTGCAAAGCACGAACAATTGAACCCTACCCTACACGACGAATACAGAATAAAAGCACTTGCATTCTTATGTTATGCGATAAACTGTCATAAAGCAGAAAAAGAAATATGTGTAATAAAATTACACCTAGCTGATCAGTTTTATGCACTAATAAGTGGCTTTTTTTTATTTGCGTTAACCCAATGGACCTTTAGTCTTTCGCCTAGTTCAAACTAAAGTAAATCTATAAAAACACTTACATATTGTATATTCTGTGTATGCATCTCTTGGGGGATACCAAACTCTGGAAAACATAGAACAAAAAATTGCTCTATAATGAAACATATAAAGATAAGGAACAATACTCAAATGAAGAAGTCATATAACATTATGAGTAAAGTGCAGAGCAAACACGGACCTTTAAAACCTTAGAAATGGGATTAGGTATCAAGGAGGATTGAGCATCCCCTGACAACTAGTAATACCAGCGGTATGCTCCTTGTCTTGATCGGGTGAATGGAAAATCTGTACACATAATTGGCTAATTATTTGTTTTAAAAAAATAGTCAACATTCGACCCAATGGGTAAACAGGATCATTTCATCGACCATAAGGTAACTAAATGAACAATCTCAATGGTCCTATTTTTACTTTTCTAAATTTTCTCTTTATAAAATTCAGAGCAGAGGGAAAGTGACATTAATATTCCATTTATGTACATGTACTAAGTATTTACCAGTAGAACAGCTATCACCAGAGAACCCCACTCGGCAAAAACACTTCCTTGTGTCTTCATGTCCATCACAGAATCCACCGTTACTACACGACTTTTGAGCACAAGACCCTTTCACTTAAGAAAAATTGTCAGTTTGCAATAAATGGCTATTGAACTTATCTCGATGAATATTGACATGAGTTGGCCGTAGAAATGCACGAACTTATTTCGGGGCATTCTCTAAGTATTTTAAAATCGGCATTCGATAAAACGCCAAGATTTTTTATTGTTATAATTCGATTTACTTTTAGTATAACTGTGTTTTAAAAGACTATTTTTCTGCCATATCATAAATATATATCTTATTTAACTGATAGTAAGAATGTATTTTTTCGTGTATATGTTGCCTCTGCAAATTACCTAAATAAAGTATTTAGGGAAGAGAGATTGAAAAAAAAATTAATAAAATTAATAAATGTAATGATATTGGATTTTGAAATTAAAAAATATATTCATGGTGTCTTTTTATCGTGGTTTTGATTGTTGATAAATGAAACTCAATGAAAAAGTTTAAATAGAGGAGCAACTTAAAAGTAGCAATGGATATAAAGTAAATGAAGAAAAGCATTCAGTAAAATGAATATTTACCACTCAATGAGAAGGAAAATTGAATTATGTAGCATCTTTTCTCGGTGAACATTCCGTCATTTCTATAATTTGAATTCAAATACACATCTGTAAAATGTTACTTTAACCAACAAAATTCTCATGAAAAGTCCAATAAAACAGAACAAACTAGGCGGATCTGATGCCATGAAAGAGAAAACATCTGTCGTCCGGTGAAATCCGCCTTATTGTAATAACATTAAAATGTTATACCCCTTGTAGTTTTTAAATTTTAAAAGTTTAAATTGAGAAATTTAAAAATGGTCTTTACTGTTTGAATTTAAGATTTGACATAAGTTAAATGGTTAATACATTTATGACACAAAATCTAAATGTGTAATTACAGTGAAAAGCAGACAGATTTGTTGGCTGGTTGATCCATTCTTAGTACAACGTCATACATGCAAGGAAATAGAGTTTGATTTAATGGAGGAATAATGAACACACCGCTTTCAAAGTTTTCGTCAGATTTTAGAACTGGACTGAAAAAGACAAACGAAATTCAATACTCACTCATCATGTCAATATGGCATTATCATGCGGTTTAATGAAAGAAATGATCAATTGTCTTTAAAAAAATTACCAATTGGTTTTGGTTAATAACTTTGAAGTCCACAGATGTACATGACAGTATTTCCCTACCAAACACTGGAATGTACTGCTGTCTTCAAATGTAGGTTTCAGAAATAGAGGATAATTCTAAAATTAAAATTACATAAGTTAAAAGTAATTTTGATGTCAGAAAACGCTATCTCGTTTTTATATATCCCCCAACATTAATATTTTGAGATGATTAAGACTATACTCACACTAAATTCTCTGTAATAATGACCTATACATGAAAAAAGGCAACTGTAGTAATCAAAATGAATCAACTATATAATGGCATGCTTTAAGATTTCGTTTCTTTAAAATGTAAAAGCATATTGCATATTGATGAACCTTTAAAATTTTGTTTTACTTTTGTATTTTGTAAAGATTCTAGTTTGAACAACCATTACTTTTTTCCTAAGATGTCCATTTTGTGATAATTTAATTTGTTGAAAATTATATGATTTCTCTCATTAAATCTGTATCAATTCACCCCTCTAACCATTATGTGAATGATGGTTATCTTTATATGGTTTAGTTTAAAGGAACTGAATAGATCACCTGTGACAACACGCACTTCAAAACATGTTTCATCTCCTATCCTAGCATCTCTGTAATTTATAATATAAATTATTATATTAAATGTGCAAATGTAAAACGAAAGATGATGTGCCTACGTTATTATTATTATCACGATTATTCTATTGTTCTATAGCGCCTTATTTAAATATAGAATTATTCAAAAGCGCTTTACATGTAAAAGCAAGTACAATATGAAACAAAAATCAAATTCAATATAATAGGAAGAATAGTAGGAAACTAGATGCTGTCATGAGACAGTAATACCCGCACTAAGGTGTTTGCCTCTAAATACACGCTCCTACATATTGGGCGGCTTTCAAAGGAAATAGTCAAAATAATTCTATAATTTACATGTATTAATCAAATTGATTATGAAATTCTCAGACCCTGTGACCTATAACTCAGAACCTCTTATATTTATTTTATACATGCTTAATTCATTATATACAAGTCTGAATTTTATTAATGATGTAAATTCATGCACGGATCTGTCAGGGGGGGGGGGGGGTCAGCCCCCCCCCCCCCCCTTGGAATTTACAAGGTTAAAAAATGTATACACTAAAACAAGGAAAAAGTTACAATGGACCCCCCTTTGAAAATGCAGATCCCCCCCCCTGGTAAACACAAATATGTGTAAAATAGGTATGAAAAGTTAAACATTTGCGGCAATAGAAGTCACCACTACCCCTTACCCACCTCCACGATATAGGTTTTTGACGTTTGGGTGAGATTTACTTTAGGTTTTTTTTTGATTGTCAATTTCTAGGATAGGATTTTTTTTGACTGAGGTGGACCTCCCCCCCCCCCACCGGAAAAAAATTCTGGATCCGCGTCTTAAATTATATATGTTTTGCTCATAATAGGACCTTTTTAAATTTACTACCCCCCCCCCCCCCCTCGACGCCACAATCACACAGCACATACTTTTTGGAATAGGCTAGATGGAAAAGGTTTGTTAAAATTTAATATCGTTTGTAATGAATTAATTTAAAATTTGTTCTTGTACTATACATGTGAACATGTAAATTTCTACATTACATCACGTTGCGTCACCCATTATGATATTTATAGATTAAACACCATTTGGCACACCTCGGCCGATTCCCACTTCATCTGATAAGGTGACGGAATCGACGAAAGTTCGCCAAAATGGCACATGGTTGCAGTCTGGTGTGCATTGGATTAATTCATTTTGTGTTATAATTGGATTTATATTTCATGAAGTTTACGAGACACAGGGAGTCGGTAAGTAGAAGTCAATGATTAGGTTAAAGTTTAAAAAGGGTCAAAGATCATCCCATGCCACACTAGACGAATTTCATATTGTGAAGTTATCTCCCATTGTCGATGTGACATTCAGTTACTGCCAAAACTGGTGCGGATCCAGAATTTTTTTAGGGAGTAGGGAGGGGGGTTCACATCTAAGTCAAAAAATTCCAGCCCAGAATTTCGTGACAAGCAGGAGAAAAAAAATGAAAACAAATAAACAAATAAAAAAACAATGATAGGGAGGTCAATGTTTTCTAAGTTTATAGGGAGAGGATGTCAAGAGTCATTTTTTACTTGCTACAGTATATAGTCTTGTTTAAATAACAAAGCAAATGCAAGATGGGGGGGGAGGGGAGGGGGGATTCCAATCTTCCTACCCACTTCCTGTCCCTGAAATAACAATCTATTTTGTGATTCCAGTTTAATAGTATATTTTTTTTCCATTTGACTAATTATTATACATGTACATATTTTGTTTCTTGTGTTTATAGTATGTCTGTCTATAAGTCTGCAAAAATTAAATCCTAGCTAGCTTGCCCATAAGTTTTAAGTGGGATGGGCTATACATATAGCTTCCACATTTTATAGGTTTATTTCTTGTGACAATTTAATAAGACCTTTTATTTGGGTACCATTAATTTTTACCTCTGATCGCTTGACATGGGATACACATTTTTACAAGAAAAATACCAAACTTTAAACTCTGCCTAATTTTTGATCAGTAGGTGCTAGGGCTTTCATACTTATCATGACATATTGTATTCATTTTGAACTGTCAACAGGAAATATGTTTGACCTTGACCCTAGAGTTTGAACCACTTAAAAAAAAAATTAACCTTGGCAATTAACTTTTGAAAAGGAATTACTAGAGATTTCTTTATTTAACATAGACTTTCTTCTGACACTAACAATTTGAACCCTTGACCTTTGAGTTTGACATATATTTGAGAAACTTCAACCTTCGCCATAGGCTTCCATACTGGGACATCAGTGTTTCACAAACACATCTTATCTACATTATTATTTGGTGGTGTCTCCATATGAGGGAAGATGTATTCACAACAAACAAACAAATTACTAAAGAAAATATAAAACATAAATATGTTGGTCATGCATATCTCTGCAGGAAAAAAAACAGCTTTTCAAATACTCCAACCATATTGTAACCCTTTCAAAACACTCATTTGAGCTTTTTTTGTTTCCTTAGCATATAATGTCTGTCGTGACGTGTTGTCCATCTGTTTGTCTGAAAACTTTTTACATTTTTAACTTCTCTAGAACCACTGGGCGAATTTTACCCAATTCATATAGAAATATGTACATTTGTATGTCAGACTCAGTCCATCTGTCTCAAAAAATTTAATCTTGGTTATCACGGTCATATCTACAGAATGAGAAGAGACATTCATATTAAAATTATTATTAGTATATTTACCTGTGAGAATGGCATGTTTTTTTTTTACATGTGACCTAGAAGTTTGACCAACTTGCAAAAAAATTAAGTTGTTATAAATTCATCATTTTGAAAGAGAAAAGTTAGGGCATTCATATCATAATGCATGTTTATTATTACCTGTGATAAAGACCTTTCCAAATATTTTTACACTGTGACCTTGACCTTGAAGCGATCAAGCCTAACCTACTTTTCAAAAATGTTGCATTTGCTTATAACTTTTGATTGAGATGAGATATGACTCTCACATTTGACATGTACATAAATTACTCATAAGAATTCAAGGTGTTTCCCAGCATGCAATGTTTTTTTTATGCGCCCCAATTTTTTAGGGGCGCATATTGTTTTTGTCCTGTCTGTTTGTCTGTTTATCTGTTTGTATGTTTGTCTGTTGTCAAGTTTAACCTTGGCCAATACTTTTGAACCGTAAGAGATAGAGACTTCATATTTGGTATGCATACTCCTCTAACAAAGTTCTTTCAAATGACATCAAGGTCAATGACCTTGTGACCTTGACTGCGACTTATATGCTAAAAATAGGTTTTTCAAGTGTTGGTCATAACTTTTGAACCATAGGAGATAGGGACTTCATATTTGGTATGCATACTTCACTAAATAGGTTCTTTCAAACAACACCAAGGTCAATGATCATGTGACCTTGACTGTGACCTTTATACTAAAAATAGCTTTTTCCACTTTTTGCCATAACCTTTGAACCATAGGAGATAGAGACTTCATATTTGGTTCGAATACTGCACTGATAAAGTTCCTTCAAATGACATGAAGGTCAATGACCTTGTGACCTTAACGGTGACCTATATGCTAAAAATAGCTTTTTCTACTTTTTGCCATAACTTTTGAACCATAGGAGATAACAACTTCATATTTAGTATGCATACCCCACTAATTAAGTTCTTACAAACAACACCAAGGTCAATGACCTTGACTGTGACCTATATGCAAAAAATATAGCTTTTTGTACTTTGTTGATGCCGGGCGCATAGTATTTCACAAACACATCTTGTTACCCCTTGACGTTGATGTTTTACATAATTTTCAAAATATTTAACCCTCCTAAAAGATTATTAGGCTTCTGAGTAACATTAAGGAAGACTTCAAGTAAGACAGGGCTTTTTGCACAAAAAGCATCATTTTCCGACCCACATTTGACCCCTTGGGGCAAAATCTAAATTCCAAAACCTTACTGCATATCTACATGACCCCACCAACCATCTCCCAAAAGATGATTAAGCTGCTGAGTAAAATGTAAGAGGAGTTCAGGGAAAACAGGGCTCTTTGTTTGAAAAACATTATTTTTCAACCCCCATTTGACCCCCCGGGGCAACATCAAAATTCCGAAACCTTACTGCACATCTACCTGACACCACCAACCATCTCCCAAAAGATGATTAAGCTGCTGAGTAAAATGTAAGAGGAGTTCAGGGAAAACAGGGCTCTTTGTATGAAAAACGTCATTTTTCGACCCCCATTTGACCCCCCTGGGCAAAATCAAAATTCCGAAACCTTACTGCACATCTACATGACACCCCAAACCATCTCCCAAAGGATGATTAAGCTACTGTGAAAAATGTAGGAGGAGTTCAGGGAAGAAGGGGCTTTTTATATAAAAAACGTCATTTTTCGACCCCCATTTGAACCCCCGGGGCAAAATCGAAATTCTGAAACCTTACTGCACATCTACATGACACCACCAGCCATCTCTCAAAAGATGATTAGGCTGCTGAGTAAATTGTAGAAGGAGTTCAAGGAAGAAGGGGCTTTTTGTATAAAAAACGTCATTTTTCGACCCCCATTTGATCCCCCGGGGCAAAATCAAAATTCCGAAACCTTACTGCACATCTACATGACACCCCCAACCATCTCCCAAAGGATGATTAAGCTACTGTGAAAAATGTAGGAGGAGTTCAGGGAAGAAGGGGCTTTTTGTATAAAAAACGTCATTTTTCGACCCCCATTTGATCCCCCGGGGCAAAATCGAAATTCTGAAACCTTACTGCACATCTACATGACACCCCAAACCATCTCCCAAAGGATGATTAAGCTACTGTGAAAAATGTAGGAGGAGTTCAGGGAAGAAGGGGCTTTTTGTATAAAAAACGTCATTTTTCGACCCCCATTTGATCCCCCGGGGCAAAATTAAAATTCCGAAACCTTACTGCACATCTACATGACACCCCCAACCATCTCCCAAAGGATGATTAAGCTACTGTGAAAAATGTAGGAGGAGTTCAGGGAAGAAGGGGCTTTTTGTATAAAAAACGTCATTTTTCGACCCCCATTTGATCCCCCGGGGCAAAATCAAAATTCCGAAACCTTACTGCACATCTACATGACACCCCCAAGCATCTCCCAAAGGATGATTAAGCTAGTGTAAAAAATGTAGGAGGAGTTCAGGGAAGAAAAGTGTGACAGACGGACGGACGGACGGACGGACGGACGGACGGACGGACATGAGTAACAACAATATACCCGAACTTTCTTTCGAAAGTGCGGGTATAAAAATCAAATGGCATAAAAATAACATCAGAATAAATTCCAAGGTTAGATTTATTTTCGTAATAATAAAAGTTTTATATGATATGTTGATTTATGCTTTAAATTTCATTGATGAATGAACTTAAAAAAATTAAATTAGACCGAAAGAAATTCTTAGAGATAACGAACAGTATTCAATCTCAAATGTTTATAATACAAATCGAGAACAGAGAAAACATGGACCTCCAAAATATCACCTGGGATCAGGTGCCAGGGAGGAGTGAGCACCAACCTGGGGAGGTCAACATTAGCGTTACATCGCCAAAAATTTCAACTCATTACTGCTACACTTTTTTCAAAATTTCAACCGATCATTACCGCTACATATTTTTAGTCGAAAACAACTCACTACCGCTATATATCGAATCAGCCAGGTATCCAGGTACGGAATATAAGATCCAATCACAAAGATTTCACAAAGAACTCAGTCCGATGTTTTACAGTTCTCCTTCTAAAATTTTTGAATTTTTGGCAATGTTGACAGAAGTAAAATATATGGCAGTGTCAAATAAAACGTTTTGTTGTTGCCATGTATAAGTACAAACTGCTTATAATAGTTGAATATAATACTTAGTCCATGATTTTTGCATCTCATTCTACATATTTTGGAGTTGCGTGTGAATGTGGGATTTTGTGTTTCAGACGTAGTTTTTTTTTATTTTTTGGATTTGAACAAATGGTATACTTATAAATCTCGGATACTCTGCATCAAACTTGTTGAATCGTTTCATTAAAAACATTCGTTAATACCTCGTTGAGTGCAAGCAGGTTGTATCACGATAGATCACTAAATTAACAAAGACATATTGTTTTAAAATCAACATAAATACTTGCCTCGAGCTCTCAACTGAATCCAGACATATTGTTTTTGTTCCCAGGATATTATCAATCACCTCTAGGATTCCATGGACAATACCACTACGTGATTCAGCGTCTGTCAGCTCCAACTTCATGATCGTCATCGAGGGATCTAAATATCCAGGGACAACTAAAGGCCTTTAAAGGAAAAAATATACAATAATTTTATCAGTTTGAAAATATATATTAGAATTGATGATGATAAAAATAAGCATCCGGTTTTAGTAATTTTGATAATTATGTGGTCTTTAATTCATCCTGTCACAACAGTGTTTCTCATTGAAAAATATTTAATCATAAAATATGCAAAACGATTATTTCTTTAACATGAGCCACAATAATTTACTTTATTCCGTACACGTGGGGGATACCACACACATGTAATCTTATAACTTACTTGTCATGAATGTTTCTGGTGACAGTAAATGGAATCGAGCAAAGATAGGAGACGTAGCAAATAACAGTTTTTGGTAGCGCAACATCTGTGAATATGGCCTGAATTAAATTTTTAAAAATTTGATTGTAAACTTTACACCTTTCAAAATATAGAGAGCAAGAAGACGTGTCATCAAGTCAACCTTTGATATAATGCTAATTGGAAAATAGACTTCACTGCATTTAAACAAATATCTTTAATAGACATATTTAGTTATATTTTTTAACCTCAAGTTGTATTTAACTCTTACCCCCGTGTTAATTGTGCTTGTGAGATTTTCGTTTGCGTCTAAAAATCAACAAGTGAAAAAGCATTAAATTTATGAGGTTAAAATCATTTAAGATTGAGTACATTTTTGAAGCAGGATGAATTCTTTTAAAAGCATCATGAGTTAGAGTCATGCGCAAGTAAAAAGTGAAGAGTTTGGATGAATGTTAACACTAATCCTTATCCAACGTTGCCAGGTTAAATAACGCTAATAACTAGTCAGAATTGCCTTCCTTTATAAAAGGAAAAAATAAGGATACAAATAATAATTCCTTTGCGACAAGAAAAAGTCGATCATCAACTCTGTTACGGAAGCAGTTTATGTTTACCTAAACTGAAGATATACCATAATTAAAACTTACAGTGATTTGTTAACCTTATAAAATAATCAAATGATGCAAAGACGGATCCTGCTTCAAATTTTAATGTTACTTTTATACCCTCGGAACAAGTTGGTCCATGAAATCCATGCCGGCAAATGCATGTTTCAGTCCTATTAACATTGTAGCATGCGGCGTTGTTTCTACAAGGAGATGTTCTTATGCAGCTCTCTAAATATTCTAAAGCAAAAAAAAAAGGTTAAGCACAATGACGTCCGTTTTATAATCATATAGCGATCGGAAATTCATAGTAAAAACTATTAATATAATTTACAACCTGCCTTTCTCACAAAATCTTCCAGTAACTGAATCATTACTGCAGTGGCATTTCACTGTTCCATCTAACGTGGTCTGACAGACACCATCACTGAGGCATGGGTTGGGGGAACACACTACATGGATATAGTGATTGATTTTTTGAATACAGAACATAATAGAAAATATTTTTGAATGATATGTTCAAAGAATACTTCTCCTTACTGTCATATAAGTCATTGACATTCAAAGTGTAACATCTTACTTCCCCACTGTCGCTAAAAAAAAATCAAACAAGATAAGTTATTGAAACACTGATGCCCCGTATGGCATCTTATGGCAAGGATTAATGTTTTTCAAATGCAAGTCAAAGTTCAAGGTCAAAATGTCAGAATTTAAGTTCCAAAAGAGAGTTCTTGTCATAAGGAATACACCTGTGAAATATCAAAGCCACAGTTTTAACTGTTCAAAATGTATGGTCAAGTTTAAAGCTATTAAAAGTGAGTCAAACTCTTAGGTCAGGGTCAAAAGGTTAAAACAATTATATTCTCCTTCAAACGTTATGGCCAAAGTAAAATTGTGGTATTTTTTTGTACAAATGGGCAAACTCCAAAGTCAAGAGATCGTGTCACAGGAAATAAATCTGTAAAATATTTTAAAAGCCATAGCCCCTTCCACTCAAAGTTAAGAGCAATTTGACGTTTTTGCGGACTAACTGACAGACAGTCGGACAGACAGAGCAAAACTATATAACGCTGCATCTTCGATTACGGGGGCATAAAAACAAAGTAGAAGTGTAGTTCTCTCTGTGAAAGCAAGCGTTAAATTTTAAAGATATGTAAAATATCAGACGGGATCTAAACTGAGTATGGGATAAGTTTTAATAGACGATATTAGATTACATGAAAAGGTTCAAAATTTATTTTGTTATATCTAATGAAAAAGATTCATACGTTAAAAAAATACCCTCGTTCCCTACACGTGTAATCAGAAGTTCATTGAAACAATATAACTTAAGAGCGGAGCAAACCCGGACATTTGAGTTGGGATCTGATGCTATTGAGAAGTTAGCATTCCCTGTCAACCGGGTGTACTCGCTCTCTGCTCATTGCAGTCAACTCAATGTGTAAATAATTGCTTAACAATTATAATGAAAAGAGTATTTGCTGACAATTACGGCCATTGCGTGTATCATATTAAATACTGTTCGTTATCTCCATATCCATCATAGAATTTGCAAAATGAGTCTGTTAATATCCTTGTCTCAACAATTTGTTTGTCAATGAATTTTCCCATTTTAGAAATTGCTCTTTTATTGAACATGCTATTGTGTATCACATCAAATGGGAGACATAAATGTCATATTCATTTTATCAGGGTACATTGCTTCATTAAACATTTTAAGTTGACGATGGAAGCGTTGACGTAATGACGTTTATTAAAGGCATTGTCATAAGCTTAACGTTAATGTCTTTTTCTAGTAAAAAATCCAAATAAGAAACATGTAAGTTAAAAGTTTTTTGCATTTACTACTTCATTTTTTTTAATATTTAGAGTCGACTTATGTCGAAATGAATAGAAGTATCTATTAATGATTAATATCAAGTCGTTGATATTTCTAACTATTGAGTTCAAGTGTTTTCTTCGGGTAGAAGTTTCTGAAGAATTTTTTTGCAAATGAATATATAATATGTTTGCAACTTGTACTCATACATGTATGTATTCCTACAGATTTTTGGAACATTTGATCTCCTAAAAACAATACAGATGTTTTAAATCAGAAACTCAGGCATCCTTTTTTATATCAGCATGGGGGTACTAGTTTGTGCAATGAGAATGTTTTTAACAAAAGCAAATTAATGACCAATGACAAAGGAAATTAATTTACAAATATCTACTAAATAATAGAATATCCGAATTGTACAGGATATGTAATGATTCTTGACGTATTTAATGATATTTACTTCTTCACTCATACTTAAAGTGAAGAAGTAATATAGAAAATATCTCTCGCGTTCACACATACCAAAAAAAAGAATTACTTAACTTGGGTTATATAAAGTATCGTAATTTGGATAGATATCATAATATGCATACAGTACTATGTAAAAACTTAGATTCTTAAGGGGCTCCGATCCTCAGCCAAGAAGGACAACACTTTATTTTATATTTAAATTCAAAAAGTCTCAAAATGAAGCTTGAAAATTAAATCTTTTCATGCAACAATTTTCATTTTATACCTCTCAATGTGCGTCAAGGTTCTTTGAAGTTCTCAGAAAGGTCAACTAAGAAGTCGAAATTGTAAAAAGCATTTTCAAATTACATATAACAAGAAATTAATGTTCATTTCAACTAACCACAAATACAAATGTTTATTAACATGATATGAAATTAGAAGTGATTTATGATGCTTTGCAATGACCGGAGAATCTTTATACACTGTACATTATAAAATGATCGAAGTAAATGAAAGAAATTAAAGTACATTATATGTATAAAAATTGTGGAATTCCTTAAAAAACTTGGATGCCTATGATTTTTATTTTTAAAATGTAATTGATCAAATTTGAATTGGAAAATACATAGCAGGTGTCTTTTTTTGCAATTCCTGAAAATATATGTTAAATTTACTAATTTTTTCGATATAATATGATGAACTTAAAACATGAAGTTTAAAGAATTGTTGTGGGTATAACACGTCGTTACTTTGAAAATTCAGAGACATTTTTTTGAGCATTTTCAATTAGTCAATGCTTGATTTTCAGAACTTGGGGATCAAAGAACCATAATAGATGAAAGCTATGTTCATCTATACATGGAAAAATGTGTTACCAAGGCATTATGCAGGTTGTTTTCTGGCCGATAGAGGCTGTATCTGTAAACACAATGTCATAAGTGCAAAGAGAGTTATTGGAAGACATTGTCGGTGGAAACACGCCTGTGAAGGAATTATTTGTATGCATCGTTGGACTAGAAATAGATACAAAAATAAACAAAAATTAAGTACATGTAAATGTTTATGATTGAAAACAATTTTATTAAACATAAAATAATATATTATTGATTAAACAAAACAATTTTTATTCTAATTTATCAATGCTTTTGTTTACTGAACAATTGCATTTTCATAATCTTCTCTGTCGAAATTTAACGTACCATATTGCATTTGTCAGAGCAATGTATGTATAGAAATGACATGGTTGCCCTCTTTTACAACCAATAACAGTCCCAGATAGTAGTGTATCAGATGTAAACTTGCAACCTGCAGGATATCTCTGCGAAAAGAAAATTATTTCACAGTTAATCCCACCTCTGAAATTTTCGGGGGGTTGTGTTTTATTACCTTTTGTCACAGATTTTTTTTTAGATCGATCATTGCTTTCCCTTTTATTTTTTTTTTAATTATTCCAAATCTTTCTGTGAAATCACTAATTTTTGTGCCGGTTAATTTTTTGTAGCTTTGGAGCCCCACGAATTTATGTCCATCATGAAAGGTTATTTTTCACAGATATCCCTACTCAACAATCCTTCATCCAGGAAATCAAATTCTCACAAACCAATATTTTTTTCCTCAAACCACAAAAATTTTACCCCACAAAAATACGTGATTTTATAGTAACCCATCTCAAATTTATATTTTTGTACAAAAAATAAAAACTTAAATTATCAAAAGTAATAAAAGTAGTAAAAGATCATATATGACTGAAAACATTCTTAACTGTAATGATTAAATTCCTACCTGATCATGGTATACTGAAAGTTAGAAAAAGAGTTTATATTATACATTAATTCAATGAAAATAATGATGACAACAAGTTAAATATTTTTTTTAAAAAAATGTTTTACTCGTTAAATGATTTAATCGGAATAACAGAGAAATGTTTGCCTTTTAACAGAAGACCAAGTAAGTACATAATAAGAAAAGTCTCAATGGAAAGGTTATAAACCTGATTTAAACTCAAAGGGTCATCAGAAGTCATAATTAAAAAAATATTTCTTTCTAAATTAAAAGTAAACATATGTACACCGTTATACGTGATAGCATAAAAATGAAATATATGTATCCCTTACTTGAAGAGTTCCAAACAACGTGAAAACATCGGGTGTTGACGTCACTGAATTAAAACCGTGACTAATGATTAATTAAAGAACACAAATGATAATAATAAAAAAAACCTAGATGTTCCGCAAACATTCGCATTAATTGCATTAGAATATTTAATTCACATACCTGATATTGTATTGGTTTTCTAAGTTAAGGCAAGGTATACTCTCTAAGACATTGAAAGGATTTGAAATTTTAACAATCACTCTGTAAATATTTGTCCGTTTAGTTTCTCTTTTATCACCAATTGCTGTTTTAACAGTTTTGTCTTTTACATCATGAACAGAAATTCGTGGAAGTGATCTAAAAATGAAAAAAAAATAAGTCAAGCTCGATTGGCCAACTTTACTGAACAATAGGTCTTATGAATAACATTAAATGTGTGATATATGATTACCAATACATACATAAGGATCATAACATTTCAAGCTAATTTATAAAAATAGTAAATTTATTGTACAATCCAGCGTTAAACCGTACTTACAATGAGTAAACGTAAGCCGAAAATGAACAAGAATGGAAGTTGAACTGACAGAAAATTGTTGATCCAGGACCTGGGGTAGGCTCAACAAACTGCACCTTTCAATTTAAAAAACGATAAAGCATTAATAGTTATTTTTTTTACAAATAAGTGTGAAAACTTTTGATAGTAAAATGTTATGATATGCAATGATGTATGGGTGGTGTGTAAATGAAAGGTTATTGAGATGCCTTGTTTTGAACATGTGCAGTTCCCTATGTTGCATTTTTAGACTTAAATTTTGTTTTCTAATCTTATAATATATTTAATGTCGTACAAATTATGGATCAAACAAATCAAAGATTTGATATCTGTAAAAAAAGAAAAAACATTAAATCTTACGTTTTGCGTAGTCGAAGACCTGTCTGAAAATAAATCCATTAATCAACTTTATGAAGCAAAAAAAAAAAAAAAAAAAAAAAGGAAAAAATAAGACTATATCCTTACCAACATGTTACTACAAGTCAATACAAGTTAAGATATTAAGCCAACAATAATTTATATTACATAGATATCTTTAAAAAATTTACCGCTCCTCCAAATGGTGAAATAAAGACTTGAGACATTGCCCATGAGATGACCATTAGTTCATCTCGTGGGTTACGTCTCGAGTCCTTTTTTCACTATGTAGAACATATAAAAGGTAGCTAATTGTAAATAAATATTCATCAAAATTGCCAATGTATATGTAAATCTTTTATGAAAATTAAACCATATCAACAACCTAAAGAGTTCATAATTTTGTATTAAGAAATGATCCTTCATAACAGTTTTAGTGGGGATGAATGAAGGTTTATTTCAAGCCTTTTTAATATTCCATTTCTTTTTCAAATAAACTTAATTAAATTCCTTTGATAAAATGTTTCAATACTTTTAACAAAACGTGTAAAAGCACATTAAGTGCTTAAACTTTTTATTCTAATTATTACCTTTTTTGCAATAACTCCCCGTATACGTCAGGCCGAGTTCACAGAAACAGGCAGGGTTGTTTAGGTCATTGTACAAGCAAATGGAATTATTGCCACTAGCACATAAGTGACCACATCCTATATACAAATTACATATTAATTTGAGTTAGCGTTTTCAGGGGGTTGTTTATTTATTAATGAATGAAGAATAAATAAAATCAATAACTTCCATGAATTAATCAAGAAAATGACGAAAGTGACAAATACGTACCAGTATCTTTACCTGCAAAACAAATGCAGTATTATATCAACATAAAAGGAAATACATGTATGTGGTATTTTTCAAATACGAATATATGTGGATAACTGTCAAAAATATCCTAACCTATTAATCACAAGATTTTATATTAATATATTAACATTTTTGCTAAGATACTAGTTTGTATCATCTAGCTCTGGTTTTTTTCTTCATATGATTGATTGCTTTTTATTTCATAGACGTTAATTTGCAATGAGAAATATGTAACCTTCATTTGAAGTGTACTTAGGAAAAAAATTCTTCAATCCTTGTTATACTATGAGACAGAACGATCGATCTGGGAGATGAAATAAGAAATGGAAGGAATTTGAATATGAAAATTTTAAAGAAGACGTCTGGAGAATATTTTGACAAGTCACCCACAAGTCTCGATGCTACATTTCAATATTAACTAAGCTTTGGATTGATATAACATATATTCCTTTACAATATAATCTTTGATGACAAAAAAAGCAGATGCTATATTTATGTAACTTCTGATGTCAAGAGATCTTTGAAATGTCTATAAAACACAGTAATGATAACAGTATAATTTTTTGTATTCTTTCTGTAATAACGCCTGATTTTAAACATTTTAAAAATACTATGCTAAATGTTTTGATTACATATATTCATATTACACCCATTTAAAAGGCGCTAAAGTAAATCTACAACAACTTGATAAAAACAATTTCTAAAAACTTGATGAATTTAACTTTTCAATCATGAACTTCCCTTACTAATGCTGTTATATACCTTCATACGTGGTTTATGTTAATCAGTTGAATCGAACACTGTTCGTTTTCTGCACATATTTCATATAAGAGCATACTCTACTTACATATTTGTACAATTTCTAAATTTAGGTTAATTATTGACTAACAAGTTTATAAAACAAGAATATCAGCTGTCTCACTTAAAGTCACCATTTCTTATTAATTAGTTCTATGGTCGATATAATTTATCATTGAGGCCATTATATAAACACATTGAATTGACGACGGATTTTTTCGTAATTTCTCGATCATGACAAGGAGTACAGGGGGGGGGGGGGGGGGGGGGGTGACCATTCGGAAGGAGATGCTCACTCCTCCATGGCATCTTATCCCACTTCTGGTGTTTTGGAGGTCCACGTTTGTTCTGCTCCTATCATGCCTATTTTGCATGGTTTAATGGGCTTTTGATTGAATACTGTTCGTTAACTCTTACATTTCACTGTTCCAAAGGGAATCATTAGTTTCATATATCTTATCTTAAATAAACAAAAAAAAATATGATATTTTATTTACTTACTTATTGCACTGCAAGTATAATTTTGAGGTATCCCCTGATAACACATTTCGTTCCTTGCACAGCTATATTTACCACATTTGTCAATGTCTGCAAAACAAATCAGTTTGATTTACATATGCTGGAATCTGAGATCTCTTTGACAAGATTAACTCTAAAATAATATTTTTCACATTTCTGTTCTGCTTTTACAGCAACCCATTTCCCTCCGTTTCCATCATACTTACAAAAACAAATATAATATGGAGGAGACGGAACACCTATACAGTTTGCTCCTCCGTAACACGGGTTACTGGTACAAGGGCTGGTCTCTGAAACAAAAGGAGTATATGGAGTACGTGTAAATAGCACTTTGTCGGGAATTTGAAGACATTAAAGTTAAGCATAAAACAACAGTGACGGAGATAGAGACAGAGATTAGTGTGTTACTTTTTTTGTTTATTTCACATAAGTTCCCAGTGTAACCAGGCCGACAACGACAACGAAATCCAGTATTATCATCATATGCTTGACAGAAACCCGATTTGCAAGGAGAAACACTACAAGGATCTGAAAAGAAAAGGAAAAGTAGTGCTTCTGTCTTTCGAATCAATGGGTAGATATGAACCCTATATTGAGGAGATCACAGTATATCTCTACATAAATAAATAGAACAGTGCGACATTTAACTCCGGACACGACATAGTCCGGACTTTTTACTACCATTTCTAATTGTCATGTCTATAAAAATTTTATAGCACCTGGTGGGATTTCTTAGCAGTATCACATATTCTCATGTTGAACTCATAGACATCTCTACTTTAAAAGATATGAAGTCCTAAATATCAGAATCCCATGGGAGAATGGTGGGATTTTCAGTCCCACCAACTATCCCACCATTCTCCCATGGGAGAAAAAATGTCAGATGGGAGAAAAAATCTCAAATGGGATTTTTTCTCCCATTAGGATTTTTTCTCCCACAGAATTGTTCAAATGGGATAAATCCCACGGATACCTACAAATGGGATTTTTTCTCCCATGAATGGTCAAATATGGGATAAATCCCATAGAACATGATATGTGGGACATTTACTCCCATAAACATTCAGATGTGGGATAAATCCCATAAGGCATAACCAA